GACGGAGACAACCCTATGGGGACAGTGGGGCTGGGGTGATGGGGACAACTCTATGGGGACATTGGGGACAGGGTGATGGGAACAACTCTTTGGGGACATCGGGGACGTTGGGGTTGGGGTGATGGTGATGACCCTATGGGGACACTGGGGACATTGAGGACATTGGGGTGATGGCGATGACCCTATGGGGACATTGGGGACATTGGGGTGATGGCGATGACCCTATGGGGTCAATGGGGACATTACGGTTGGGGTGATGATCCTGCGGGGACACTGGGGACACTGGGGACATTGGCATTGAGGTGATGGGGACAACTCTATGGGGACATTGGGGACAGGGTGATGGGAACAACTCTTTGGGGACATCGGGGACGTTGGGGTTGGGGTGATGGTGATGACCCTATGGGGACACTGGGGACATTGAGGACATTGGGGTGATGGCGATGACCCTATGGGGACATTGGGGACATTGGGGTGATGGCGATGACCCTATGGGGTCAATGGGGACATTACGGTTGGGGTGATGATCCTGCGGGGACACTGGGGACACTGGGGACATTGGCATTGAGGTGATGGGGACAACTCTATGGGGACATCGGGGACGTTGGGGTTGAGGTGATGGCAATGACCCTATGGGGATACTGGGGTTGGGATGATGGCGATGACCCTATGGGGACGTTGGGGACGTTGGGGACATTGGGGTGATGGCAATGACCCTATGGGGACATTGGGGACGTTGGGGTTGGGGTGATGGCCATTTTTGGGGTCCCCCAGGCCATCTGGGGAGTGCCAGCATGGGGTTTGGGGTCCACAAGGGCATTTTTGGTGTCCCTCATGCCATTTTTGAGGTTCCTCAGCCCATTTTTGGTGTCCTTCATGCCATTTTTGGTGTCCCTCAGCCCATTTTTGAGGTTCCTCAGCCCATTTTTGGTGTCCTTCATGCCATTTTTGGTGTCCCTCAGCCCATTTTTGAGCTCCCTCAGCCCATTTTTGAGGTTCCTCAGCCCATTTTTGGTGTCCCTCATGCCATTTTTGAGGTCCCTCAGCCCATTTTTGAGGTCCCTCATGCCATTTTTGAGGTCCCTCAGTCCATTTTTGAGGTTCCTCAGCCCATTTTTGGACCCCTCCCCGACCATTTTTGGGATCCCCCAGATCTGTTAGGGGTTCCTCCTTACCAGGGTGGGTTTTGGGGTGCCAGGACTCACCGTTGATGATGGTGGGTGCCCGGAAGCGCCCGGCCAACTGGTCCCACTCCAGGAGAGCGCAGGCACCGGCGAAGGGCTGGGCCAGGGCCACCCCTGGGTGCCCCCCCAGGGCGAAGGGCTCGGCCGCCAGCGAGGAGAAGGGCAGCGACTGGAAGGGTCGCAGCTCTGCGGGGGGGACCCCCCCCACCCTGTCACCCACCTGGGTCCCCACCCCGACACCGCGTGCACACAGGGCAGGGGGCACCCAGGTGTTGGGGACCGAGGGGACCCAGGTGTCAGGGATGGGGGGCACCCAGGTGTCTGGGATGAGGGGACCCAGGACATTTGGGACCGAGGGCACCCAGGTGTTGGGGACAGGGGCACCCAGGCGTCAGGGACAGGGGCACCCAGGTGTCCAGGATGGGGGCACCCAGGTGTTGGGGACGAAGGGGACCCAGGTGTTGGGGACAGGGGCACCCAGGTGTGTCAGGGATGGGGGGCACCCAGGTGTCTGGGATGAGGGGACCCAGGACATTTGGGACCGAGGGCACCCAGGTGTTGGGGACAGGGGCACCCAGGCGTCAGGGACAGGGGCACCCAGGTGTCCAGGATGGGGGCACCCAGGTGTTGGGGACGAAGGGGACCCAGGTGTTGGGGACAGGGGCACCCAGGTGTCCAGGATGGTGGGGACCCAGGCATTTGGGACCAAGGGGACCCAGGTGTCGGGGAGGGGCACCCAGGAGTTGGGGATGGGGGCCCCCAGGTGTCCGGGATGGGGTGGACCCAGGTGTTGGGGACAGGGGCACCCACATGTCCAGGAAGGGGGGCACCCAGGTGTCCGGAATGGTGGGGACCCAGGCATTTGGGACCAAGGGCACCCAGGAGTTGGGGACAGGGGCACCCAGGTGTCGGGGATGGGGGCACCAAGAGTTGGGGATGGGGGCACCCAGGTGTCAGGGACCAAGGGGACCCAGGAGTTGGGGACAGGGGCACCCCGGTACCCGGGACTGGGGGGACCCAGGACGTTTGGGACCAAGGGCACCCAGGAGTTGGGGACGGGGGCACCCAGGTGTCTGGGATGGGGGGGGACCCAGGTGTTGGGGACAGGGGCACCCTGGTACCCGGGACTGGGGGGACCCAGGACGTTTGGGACCAAGGGGACCCAGGAGTTGGGGACAGGGGCACCCAGGTGTCGGGGACGGGGGCACCCAGGAGTTGGGGACAGGGGCACCCAGGTGTCGGGGATGGGGGCACCAAGAGTTGGGGATGGGGGCACCCAGGTGTCAGGGACCAAGGGGACCCAGGAGTTGGGGACAGGGGCACCCCGGTACCCGGGACTGGGGGGACCCAGGACGTTTGGGACCAAGGGCACCCAGGAGTTGGGGACGGGGGCACCCAGGTGTCTGGGATGGGGGGGGACCCAGGTGTTGGGGACAGGGGCACCCTGGTACCCGGGACTGGGGGGACCCAGGACGTTTGGGACCAAGGGGACCCAGGAGTTGGGGACAGGGGCACCCAGGTGTCGGGGACGGGGGCACCCAGGAGTTGGGGACAGGGGCACCCAGGTGTCGGGGATGGGGGCACCAAGAGTTGGGGATGGGGGCACCCAGGTGTCAGGGACCAAGGGGACCCAGGAGTTGGGGACAGGGGCACCCCGGTACCCGGGACTGGGGGGACCCAGGACGTTTGGGACCAAGGGCACCCAGGAGTTGGGGACGGGGGCACCCAGGTGTCTGGGATGGGGGGGGACCCAGGTGTTGGGGACAGGGGCACCCTGGTACCCGGGACTGGGGGGACCCAGGACGTTTGGGACCAAGGGGACCCAGGAGTTGGGGACAGGGGCACCCAGGTGTCGGGGACGGGGGCACCCAGGAGTTGGGGACAGGGGCACCCAGGTGTCGGGGATGGGGGCACCAAGAGTTGGGGATGGGGGCACCCAGGTGTCAGGGACCAAGGGGACCCAGGAGTTGGGGACAGGGGCACCCCGGTACCCGGGACTGGGGGGACCCAGGACGTTTGGGACCAAGGGCACCCAGGAGTTGGGGACGGGGGCACCCAGGTGTCTGGGATGGGGGGGGACCCAGGTGTTGGGGACAGGGGCACCCTGGTACCCGGGACTGGGGGGACCCAGGACGTTTGGGACCAAGGGGACCCAGGAGTTGGGGACAGGGGCACCCAGGTGTCGGGGACGGGGGCACCCAGGAGTTGGGGACAGGGGCACCCAGGTGTCGGGGATGGGGGCACCAAGAGTTGGGGATGGGGGCACCCAGGTGTCAGGGACCAAGGGGACCCAGGAGTTGGGGACAGGGGCACCCCGGTACCCGGGACTGGGGGGACCCAGGACGTTTGGGACCAAGGGCACCCAGGAGTTGGGGACGGGGGCACCCAGGTGTCTGGGATGGGGGGGGACCCAGGTGTTGGGGACAGGGGCACCCTGGTACCCGGGACTGGGGGGACCCAGGACGTTTGGGACCAAGGGGACCCAGGAGTTGGGGACAGGGGCACCCAGGTGTCGGGGACGGGGGCACCCAGGAGTTGGGGACAGGGGCACCCAGGTGTCGGGGATGGGGGCACCAAGAGTTGGGGATGGGGGCACCCAGGTGTCAGGGACCAAGGGGACCCAGGAGTTGGGGACAGGGGCACCCCGGTACCCGGGACTGGGGGGACCCAGGACGTTTGGGACCAAGGGCACCCAGGAGTTGGGGACGGGGGCACCCAGGTGTCTGGGATGGGGGGGGACCCAGGTGTTGGGGACAGGGGCACCCTGGTACCCGGGACTGGGGGGACCCAGGACGTTTGGGACCAAGGGGACCCAGGAGTTGGGGACAGGGGCACCCAGGTGTCGGGGACGGGGGCACCCAGGAGTTGGGGACAGGGGCACCCAGGTGTCGGGGATGGGGGCACCAAGAGTTGGGGATGGGGGCACCCAGGTGTCAGGGACCAAGGGGACCCAGGAGTTGGGGACAGGGGCACCCCGGTACCCGGGACTGGGGGGACCCAGGACGTTTGGGACCAAGGGCACCCAGGAGTTGGGGACGGGGGCACCCAGGTGTCTGGGATGGGGGGGGACCCAGGTGTTGGGGACAGGGGCACCCTGGTACCCGGGACTGGGGGGACCCAGGACGTTTGGGACCAAGGGGACCCAGGAGTTGGGGACAGGGGCACCCAGGTGTCGGGGACGGGGGCACCCAGGAGTTGGGGACAGGGGCACCCAGGTGTCGGGGATGGGGGCACCAAGAGTTGGGGATGGGGGCACCCAGGTGTCAGGGACCAAGGGGACCCAGGAGTTGGGGACAGGGGCACCCCGGTACCCGGGACTGGGGGGACCCAGGACGTTTGGGACCAAGGGCACCCAGGAGTTGGGGACGGGGGCACCCAGGTGTCTGGGATGGGGGGGGACCCAGGTGTTGGGGACAGGGGCACCCTGGTACCCGGGACTGGGGGGACCCAGGACGTTTGGGACCAAGGGGACCCAGGAGTTGGGGACAGGGGCACCCAGGTGTCGGGGACGGGGGCACCCAGGAGTTGGGGACAGGGGCACCCAGGTGTCGGGGATGGGGGCACCAAGAGTTGGGGATGGGGGCACCCAGGTGTCAGGGACCAAGGGGACCCAGGAGTTGGGGACAGGGGCACCCCGGTACCCGGGACTGGGGGGACCCAGGACGTTTGGGACCAAGGGCACCCAGGAGTTGGGGACGGGGGCACCCAGGTGTCTGGGATGGGGGGGGACCCAGGTGTTGGGGACAGGGGCACCCTGGTACCCGGGACTGGGGGGACCCAGGACGTTTGGGACCAAGGGGACCCAGGAGTTGGGGACAGGGGCACCCAGGTGTCGGGGACGGGGGCACCCAGGAGTTGGGGACAGGGGCACCCAGGTGTCGGGGATGGGGGCACCAAGAGTTGGGGATGGGGGCACCCAGGTGTCAGGGACCAAGGGGACCCAGGAGTTGGGGACAGGGGCACCCCGGTACCCGGGACTGGGGGGACCCAGGACGTTTGGGACCAAGGGCACCCAGGAGTTGGGGACGGGGGCACCCAGGTGTCTGGGATGGGGGGGGACCCAGGTGTTGGGGACAGGGGCACCCTGGTACCCGGGACTGGGGGGACCCAGGACGTTTGGGACCAAGGGGACCCAGGAGTTGGGGACAGGGGCACCCAGGTGTCGGGGACGGGGGCACCCAGGAGTTGGGGACAGGGGCACCCAGGTGTCGGGGATGGGGGCACCAAGAGTTGGGGATGGGGGCACCCAGGTGTCAGGGACCAAGGGGACCCAGGAGTTGGGGACAGGGGCACCCCGGTACCCGGGACTGGGGGGACCCAGGACGTTTGGGACCAAGGGCACCCAGGAGTTGGGGACGGGGGCACCCAGGTGTCTGGGATGGGGGGGGACCCAGGTGTTGGGGACAGGGGCACCCTGGTACCCGGGACTGGGGGGACCCAGGACGTTTGGGACCAAGGGGACCCAGGAGTTGGGGACAGGGGCACCCAGGTGTCGGGGACGGGGGCACCCAGGAGTTGGGGACAGGGGCACCCAGGTGTCGGGGATGGGGGCACCAAGAGTTGGGGATGGGGGCACCCAGGTGTCAGGGACCAAGGGGACCCAGGAGTTGGGGACAGGGGCACCCCGGTACCCGGGACTGGGGGGACCCAGGACGTTTGGGACCAAGGGCACCCAGGAGTTGGGGACGGGGGCACCCAGGTGTCTGGGATGGGGGGGGACCCAGGTGTTGGGGACAGGGGCACCCTGGTACCCGGGACTGGGGGGACCCAGGACGTTTGGGACCAAGGGGACCCAGGAGTTGGGGACAGGGGCACCCAGGTGTCGGGGACGGGGGCACCCAGGAGTTGGGGACAGGGGCACCCAGGTGTCGGGGATGGGGGCACCAAGAGTTGGGGATGGGGGCACCCAGGTGTCAGGGACCAAGGGGACCCAGGAGTTGGGGACAGGGGCACCCCGGTACCCGGGACTGGGGGGACCCAGGACGTTTGGGACCAAGGGCACCCAGGAGTTGGGGACGGGGGCACCCAGGTGTCTGGGATGGGGGGGGACCCAGGTGTTGGGGACAGGGGCACCCTGGTACCCGGGACTGGGGGGACCCAGGACGTTTGGGACCAAGGGGACCCAGGAGTTGGGGACAGGGGCACCCAGGTGTCGGGGACGGGGGCACCCAGGAGTTGGGGACAGGGGCACCCAGGTGTCGGGGATGGGGGCACCAAGAGTTGGGGATGGGGGCACCCCACTCACAGGTAGAGCAGCCCCCGCAGCCCCCGCAGCGCCGTGGGGGCGATCGTCCCCACCTCGTTGTCCTCGATGAACCTGGGGACCCCAGTACATCCCAGTCCCTCCCCAGTTCCCCCCAGTGCCTCCCGTGCCCCGCTCCGTGTCCCTCCCAGCCCTCCCCTGGCTCCCCCAGGGGCTCCCAGTATAGCCCAGTGCTCCCCAGTGTCCCTCCCGGTGCCTCCCAGTACTTCCCAGTGGCCTCCTGTGTCCTTCCCCGTGTCCCCCAGCACCTTCCACTTCCCTCCACCGCCTCCCAGTGCCTCCCAGTAAATCCCAGTGGCCCCCAGTGGCCCTCCTAGGGTCCCCCAGCACCTTCCACTTCCCTCCACCACCTCCCAGTACATCCCAGTGCTTCCCAGTACATCCCAGTGCCCCTCAATGTCCTCCACAGTCCCTCCCGAGTGATTCCAAGCCCCCCCCCGGCTCCTTCCCAGTCCCCTCCCAGTGCCCCCTAGTCCCCACTAGTCCCTCCCCAGTGCCCCCCAGT